AACCTCCCAATGAGATTACATTTTTAATTGCCTTCTTTAGTGGATAACATAAAAAATGTCAAGAGAAATAATATCAACACACCAGTCTCCAAAGTTAGAGACTCCTGGGGTCCAATGACATAATGGATTGTTATGATTTTAGAAATAATACTGAGGACTTTACCAGAAGGATCCCAAACTACCACAACAAACCTATGCCTAGGCAAGGAAACACCTGTTTGAGTTTCTTCAGATATAATTACAACATGGCAAAACAATAGTCCCTCTTATCATCCACACTGAATGCAACAGATACAAAATTGTCAAAATTCAGATTCTCTTTAAATTTTAAAAGAGGGGGCGGGGGCAGAATCTACATTTCTATCCAGCACTTCACATGCAGACAGAATAATATTCATAATAAATAGACACCGAGAGTTCAACCTCCTCCAGTCTTCACCAAACAGAAAAATGCTGTATATAAATGCTACATTGCATCTAGAACATAGAATTGAGGAATACATATATTTTATGCATTTTGTAAGTTATGTTTTATTATTTCTTTGTAAAGCAATGTACCCAGAGTCTTGGGGAGGCAGGCAGGCAGGCACACAAGATCATTCTTCCTCATTTTTCCATGTTCTGCTCTTTATATGGGGCTTTGTATCCATTGTCAAACCTATTCCATGGTTCCCTTAATATGTGTGTAAGAAAACTCTTTCTTGGACTGATCAATATTCATGAGCGTGTAGTTACTCGTAAGGAACTTTGCCTTAAGTCAAATTCTCTTAATAACCCTAGTGGGTGTGCCTTCCTTTCTCCTGGATCAATAACTAAGAGAACAATCTGCAGCTATGTTTATTACTTTTTCATACCAAACTCTATCTACCTAAGTACATGTTCTATGCCTTAGTTGTAAGCCTTTATTTTAAGAACATAAGGGGAGAAAAATCCTCCTAATTATGCACATTAAATAAATGGAATATGGTTCTATGTCAGTATCATAAGAATCAGATATGTTGCTTCCAGACTAGAACGCCTACTAAGACTACTAAGCAACTTTTTATACAGCATTTAGTATAATATTCAACAAATTCCCAGGTATAGTGGGTTTTCTTCTCTTTACTTTTGATCATAGGTAAATCTGATTCAGCAATAGTCTTTGCAGATTCTATCTTTTGTGTTCCTCCCTGTTAAAAGCCTGGAGGGATCAATCATCAATACCCTCTTAACTGATCTTTGAATAGGCTCTCTAAAGTAATGCAACTTTAACTATCTCTATGGGTTGAGAAAATGGAACTAAGTATCATAGAGGAGGAAATAGTGTGAGCACTCAACCAGTTGCCTAACTGCAAAGTCCTAGGAGTTGATGGAATTCCTGGAGGGTTGATGAGACCAGAGCCAATAAAAGGACTGACAAGCACTTTGCCAAAGTGTATGGAAGTGTGGCCTGGAGCCAAAAGAATGGAAAAGGTCAATATTTATCCCAATACCAAAGAAAGGTGATACAAAAGACCATTTCAACCACCAAACCATAGCCTTGATACCACATGTGAGTAAAATTCTCTTGAAGATAATTTAGTATCATTTGAATTCAACTGCCAACAGGGAACTGCCTGATATACAAGCAGGATTTCAGAAAGGAAAAGGAATGTGTGATCATATTGCCAATCTATGTTGGATGGTGGAAAAAGCAAAGGAATACCAAAAAGTCTTCTACATGTGCTTCATTGACTATACAAAAGCCTTCAACTGAGTATAGTCATTGTACTCTGACCAGGCACCCACTGTAAGAATGGAATATGGAGACACAAAATGGTTCAGAACTGAAAAACGCACTTAGCAAGTTTAAATCTTGTCACCTAGAATACCATCCAACAGGTACACAGAAATAGCTATGAGAAGTGCACATTTGGAGGAATCTACCATTGGGGTTAAAATCGGTGGTGGGAATATCAACCTCTGATATGCAGATGATACAACATTGCCCATGGAAAGCGAGAAGGATCTGGAGAGGTTAAACCTCAGAGTCAAAAATGAAAGTGAAAAAATCGAACTGCACCTTAACATCAAGAAAACAAAGATAAAGACAACTGCAGAGAACACATAGGTCAGAGTGCAGATCGACAATCAGACCATCAAAACAGTAAAGAAATTCATCTTCCTAGACTCTACAATCAGCCAGTGGTGACTGCAGCCCTGAGATCAGAAGGCGTATAGCACTTGGAAGAACTATAATGTCTACCATGAATAACATCTGAAAGAGTAAAGACATCAGCCTCGCAACCAAATGCAGATTAGTTAATGCAATATTTTTTCCAATTACTACTTATGGCTGTGAAACTTGTATTCTAGAAGAAGAGTGGATGCATTTGACCTGTGGGGCTGGAGACGACTACTACACATCCCATGAGCTGCAGAAATAAAGTCTTAGACCGAACTTCACCAAAAGTATCACTTGAAGCCAAGATCACCAAACAGAGGCTGTTGTTATATTTTGGTCATGTCAAGAGAGCTGATTCACTCGAAAAGTCAATCATGCTGGGAGTAATCAGTGGAAAAGGAGAATGGGCCACTCTAGCACCTGCTGGCTGGACATTACAAAAGATGATACTGGGATGACCATTGCAGCTGTGAAGGTGGTGATGCAAGACAGAGGGGCATGGAGAGTGCTGATCCCTAGAGTGGTTGAGGGTCAGATATGACTGAATGGCTGATGATGAAGACTATGGGTTGAGGAGATAATCTCCTGTCACAATCAACAGAGAAGAAATATGGACAAAACCAGCAAACAGGAAATCTTTAATTAAATGCAAAGAAGGATTAAAAGCTTCAGTAGTGGTTTGTCTACCATGGCTAGGCTGATGCTAAAAAATCAGTTTATTCCTCCTCCCATGTGTACATTCAAGTATCTATAACAGTGATAAAATAACACCTTAGAACAAAAAAGAATACTAGACTGCTGAATTGTAATGATTTTTCCCATTTCCCCCCCAATATAGGTTTATGAACAAAGTAAGGCAATTCCAAGAAAAAAGACTACTGCAGAATCAGATGGAAAAAGCTATGGAATGCTATGCTTATAAAATATTCACCACTGATGATAATCATTTGTAGGCGACAATCTTCTTTATTACAGTACATAGAAAATGAGTTGTACTTATGTTAGTTCTCAATTCTGGTCTAGGGTGGACTGTTTTCACAAGTGGTACTAAAAGGAACAAACTCACTTGCTGTGTACACACCAGTATTTCTTACAGCATAATAAAAAAAAATCTTTCCTACAGTAAGAAATTAGGCTGTTTGATCAAAATAAGGTATTCAGAAATTGACAATTCAGTATCCTTAATGACACATCAAAAACTCCTGCACAGTTTATGAGGTAAAGTGAGCAAGATTGTGTCAGTCAGAAAATCTGGGGCTATCAGTAAACATACAACATGTGGACAGGAAGCTATAAAGTGGTGGTGGTTCATATAAACCCCTGCCTTGACAGCGAATTGGTACAGTCCTTATATAGATTTACTTTTGAAATGAAAAATATTTTAAGAAACCTGAACCAATCAGGGCCCAAGATGCATACAGGTAGTCCTTGACCTATGGTCACATTTGGGATGAGAACTTAGTGATATAAATGCCCAATTTGATAACCTTTTTGCTGTACTCATTAAGCAAATCACACAGCTGTTAAGCAAACCTGGCTTGCCCCATTGACTTCACTTGTTGGAGATCAGCTAAGGTTACAAATGGTGATCATGTGACTTGGGAGACTGCAACAGACGTAAATACATGCTGGTTGCCAAGCACCTGAATTTTGATCATGTGCCTGTGTAGACATTGCACCAGCCATAAGTGCGAGGATCGGTTGTAAGTCACTGTTTTCAACACTATCATAACTTCAACAATCATTAAACAAATGGTCATAAGTCAAGGATTACCTTTATGTGCATTTTTAAGCAATCCACATTGATACATTTGTTGCTGGAAACAGTGCTACATGTGCAGCAATCTGCTTTACTGCATACATAAAGGTAGGGAACCTCCCATAAAACATTTTTTTAAATAATCTGAATAGAAATTACTATAGTATGCATTTGCCTTAAAACTATCCTCTTCAACTTTCTCTTTTTAAGTCTTCATACTTTCTATCATTAGCAAAATGATGCTTTCTGGATCATGTGTGAAAATATATTGAAGATTAACTGGAATGGGACAGGAGGAATCTCACACCTTCTTTGCTGATTATATTATCTTCAGTAATACCCATCTCACAATTTGAGAATGTTCATGTATCAGGGTAAAACAAAAAGTTCCAAGAATTCTGCCTTATGGTGAATATGTGTCTTTTCATTATGCCACTTCTAACCTTTTACTAAAAGAAGTACCTTAAATCCAGATATCTCTCTTTATTTATTGCTCTTCCATCATTGCCGATTCCTGATTTCAGTTTGATTACAGAGACATATCCCAAAAATCTTAATTCATTCATCACCCAAAATAAAAAATCACTGTTCAGACACTCCCACTAGCAGAGGACTCAAGCAAAAGGGATTAAGCAGCATGCATCAGCACTCTTTTTCCTTCATAGTAAATTAGATTTCTTTGGAATGCTGGCTTCTATCGCAACTAGAGTACAACTAGTAAATGTCATTTGCATAACTGAAGGAAACAGAATCTAGAAAATGGGCAAGAATTTGAAACAAACTTCTCTTTAGTTCCTAAATACCCATTTTTTTTCTTGTCCATTTGTGGTCTTAAGTCTATGAAAGATACCTGAAAAAGAGACATAGATTAACTGATAACGTAATATTAGATTTAAAAAAACCCTGGATATAAATGGAGTAGAAGAGCAAAGATACTCAGGTCTTGGAGTACAACTACAACTCACTTCATCTTTGGGGTTGATGGGAGTTATAGGGCAATTGTTCTGGAGGGCACTGCATTGGAGAAAATTAGATTACAAGAATGGAACTGATAATTCAAAGATGCACTTTCTTCAGGTATATGAAGGGCACTGAAAGCATTACCTGATTTTGACTGGCCTCATACAGCTCTTGAGCCGACGTGATTCACCTTCTTTAGAAGACCTCGTGGGTAGAACTTGGGTAGCCGCTGCCCCCTTCAGTACCACACTATAATTCTTGCCCTGGTTATTGGCCCAGTAAACTCCTTCTTCGGTCTGATAGCGCACCACAAAATCAAGCTGGGCTCCTCCTCCTTCCTCATCTTCCTCATCCTCATCGCCAAACTCCAGGCAGAAGGCAAAGCGGTCAGTCAGGCCTCCATCTGGTGAGCCCCCTGAAATATAGAGGGCAGGGTAATCCCGGTGACTTTGCCACCGGTCTTTGCTGGCCCGCACATGCACAGCCTTGTGGTAAGAAACGTTGAGCACACGCACAGTACCACGAAGCACTCGTGGCTCTCCAGGCTGTGGTGGCAAAACTTCTTCCAATTCTACCTTGGCCTGGCGCAGCCGTTCAAGCTTCTCATCCTCATCTTGCCCCACTGGTTGCAACACAAAGGATGGCAAAAGGTAGGGGGTACTTGTGGAGGGGGGGAGGGAGGCCAAGAAAGGCACCACCTCAGGGGGAGACTCTGGCGAAGGCGGTGGCCAAGGCTGGTAGCGCCGCCAGCGTGCCAAGGGCAGGCCCAAGGCATCAGCAAACAGCACATGCCGGCCTGCGGTGTGCTGACAGGGCTCCTCCATGGGGGTGGCAGCTGCAGTGGCATGTTGGGAAAACAGTCCAGGGTGCCCTTGAGCATGCTGGGAGGGGAGCCCTCGGCTGTCCTGCACTGCATGCTGGGAAGGTGGCCCAGGCAGGCCTGGGGGATGCTGAGAAAGTGGCCTGGCCAAGTGCTGGTGGTGCCCGTCATCCTCCCCGTCGTCCTCTGACGAAGAGCAGTTCTCTGGGGCGCTGGGGTGCTGAGGCCTGGGCACCGGGGAGGAGCGTGGCATGAGAGCCCGGGCTGGGGGATCTTCCTCCTCCTCCTCCTCTCCGTCTTCTTCGCCGTCGTCTTCCTCCCCCTCCTCCTCCTCCTCCTCCTCCTCGGCCGCCTCCCGAGTGAGAGGCAAGGGAGGCTGTGGCGGCGGTGGCGGGGAGGAGGAGGAGGCCCCCGCGCGAGCCATGGCGGGCGGCTGGGAGGACGGCGGACTAGCGGCGCAGACAGCTGCTGCTGCTATTGCCGAAGCTGCCGGGCGGGGGGCGGAGGACGAGGACGACGACAGCGAGCCGGGGTGGAGCGAGCCGGGAGAGGGAGGTGGAGCGAGCAGAGCAAGGCGAGGAACGCGGGAGTCGCAGGCTGGTGTCAGGCAGGCTAGCGGCTGCGCCAATCGGAAAGCAGAGCGTAAAACTGGGGGGGAAGACCCTCTCCGTCTCCTTTACCCGAGAAAAACCCGCAGGCGGGCGACCCTAGCCGGCAAGCAAAGCGTCGGCAAAGCAGTCGAGACCGAAGCACATCTATGCCGGCCGACGCGCAGATAAATGGGGGAGGAAAGGCTGCGCACGGCGTCGCCTCCCTCCTCCCGAGCCCCCTCCGGTCGGATGAACTCATTGTGGCTGACAGAAAGCCAGGGACACAATTTGAGCTTGATTGCTTGGTGGAGGGCAGTTATTTTATAATCTCCGAACATCTGTCAGAGAGAAAACGGTGAGGAAAGAAAATGATATAAGCTGTGACGTACGCCTGCATTTTTATATCAGGGCATAGATCTAAGAGGAGGTAAAGTGGCAGCGTAGCCTATCCCAGGAAAGGCACTCTTGATCCGTGTTTTTTAAAAATCATCTCTTTATCCCAGGCCATGCGAAAGGAAATTGGAGTATCCTCACCTGTAATAAATGCATGCTTTTTATTGCACCACATTGTTCAAAATAAAACAGTTACAAATCCAATATGGAGAATACATTCATTAGATCAAGTTCTCAATCAGATTGATCTGAAATATTTTAAGCCAACTGTATATATGTTACATATAAATGTCACAATTAAATTCATACTTATTGGATGACAGCAGTTTAAATTTATAAGAATTAAATATGGTTTACTATAACATTTAAAGTATATCCAAAATGATTAATTACCATAAATGTATTTGTGTTGTTCAGATACAAGTGTGATAAAAACAGCAGTTTGGGTTGCAGAATTCTTGAATAGGTATGCATAGAGATGTCTTAATATGTCACATAATTTTCCTTTTATTTATTTAGCATATTATACAAGGAAACAGAAAGGGGTTTGTTTTCTCAAGGAACAGGTGTCACTTGGAATATGGCCTTCATCATTTGCCCATCGCTGAAGACTAATAGACTAATAGATTGGTTAAAGACTAATAGATTTGTTAAAACAACACTTCTTGGCTGACATAAATGTAGAACCCCACTACCTCCCTCCACTCATGTAGAATGGAATACATCAGGTTTCATCACTGGTAGTTTTTAAATATTTTTGCTCTGTATATAAGAAAAAGTAATTAAAATAAACATAATAATATTAAAATATTATTCCCAAAGAATTAACCTGGAAGTTTATAAAATGATTATATTTGTTGACAACACCAAATTATTTAAAAAGTTAAAACAAAAAAGGCAGCAAAGAATTGACAAAGACTCAATGGCAGAATAAGTATTAAAATAACAAACATGATTCCACACATACATATAAAGTAGAAAAGGAAATATTTTTCTTCCTCATACTACTAGAAACTAGGATCTCCCAATTAAACTGAAAGTGAAAAAGTCAGCAACAAATGATGTTAATGATTTATTAAATGTATATCATGCTCAACTGCCTAGAGAAATGCACATTCATACAGTACATAAATAATTAAATTCACTTTTATATAGTAATTGGAGAAATGAATGAAGCATAACATTAGCAAATCAATCAGAATAGTTGTATATGGCCTTCAGTATCAGTGTGAAAATAATGGTCTACTCATGTCCTTTTTATAGACTTCCCGTAGTCATCTAATTCATTCACTCATTCAATGTTAGCAGTGCAAAAGGTTAAGCAAAAACAAAAAAATGAATGCTTCTCTTAAGACACTTGAAACTGGTTGATAATAAGGAGACAATGAGAAGAAGAAAGGGGGGCACTAAGGATGCAGGAAGGAAGAGGATTTAAAACAGAATTATATAGCAATAGCAATAACACTTAGACTTATATACCGCTTTATAGCCCTCTCTAAGCGGTTTACAGAGTCAGCATATTGCACCCAACAATTTGGGTCCTCATTTTGCCCACCTCAGAAGAATGGAAGGCTGAGTCAACCTTGAGCCTGGTGGGACTTGAACTGCCAAATTGTAGGCAGCTGGCTGCAGAATTAGCTTGCAGTACTGCACTCTTACCACTGCGCCACAGAGGCTCCTCACTTATACATACTGTAAAATAATCCAATGGAAGAGCTGTTTAGAGATATTGCAGCAACTAGAACTCTGCCAGATGTTTTGGAGAGAGCTGAAAATATTTTGGAATCCAAATAAGATGACAGAAATATGCAGACAATAGAGATATCATCGTAGTTTATTTCCCTACCTATACCTACAAACAAGCCATTAGAGAGCAAAACATAAATGTGATGCAGCACTTACTTTTTGTCAGAAGTAAGGTAGAACATGCCATACAAAGGAACCAAGTTGGGTGCAGCCAAGATTTTTTGAACGATGGAGCTATTCTAGCTACAGAAAATGGCATCAATTTCCGAGCAAGATATGAGAGATGAACGAACAGAATTAATGAAGAGCATCTCAAAATTGTTTGAAAAAGCAGGCAAGTTTTTGATTTTCAATTTTACAGAAGACAATGTTGAAAAAGCACTATGCAATCTAAAACCATCTCTATCTATTGGACCGAACGGAATATATGCCTTTCTTAAAAAAGCTATCCACTGCCATAGCCGAACCTCTAAGCATAATCGTTGAAAAATCTTTCAGGACCAGCTCCTTGCGAAAACTATGGTCACAAGCCACGGTCATCCGTATCTTCAAAAAGGGAGACCCCAGCCTAGTTGAAAATTACAGACCAATCTCTTTATGCTGCGTCACCTGTAAAGTCATGGAATCAATTATTAAACCCATCCAACTCGGTCAGGGCAAAGCAATAGACACAATCTACATAGACTTCTGTAAAGCCTTTGATTCAGTGATACACGAAAAACTACTCCTAAAACCAAAATCTTACGATATCTCCGGACACCTGCATAACTGGATAGAAGCATTCCTGTCAAACAGACAACAAATGGTCAAAATTGGGAGCGTCCTATCAAATTCTGTACCTGTCAACAGTGGTGTCCCCCAAGGCAGTGTTCTAGGATCAACTCTTTTCATACTCCACATAAATGACCTCTATGATCATATCAAGAGCAACTGCGTTCTTTTCGCTGATGATGTAAAGCTATTCAACACCACAGACAATACTGCTACCCTTCAAAAAGACCTTGACTATGTATCAGAATGGTCAAACAAATGGCAACTTCAAATCTCAACAAATAAATGCTCTGTCCTACATATTGGCAAAAAAAAAAAAACAGAAAATAAAATACAGGCTGAATAGTCAAGACCTTGTTGATGATCCAAACTCTGTCAAGGATATTGGAGTACTCATCTCTAATGATCTAAGTGCTAGAGCCCACTGTAACTACATAGCCAAAAAGGCATTAAGAGTTGTTAACCTAATCTTACGTAGCTTCTTCTCTGGTAATATACTAATAACTAGAGCGTACAAAACATTTGCTAGACCAATACTCGAATACAGCTCATCAGTCTGGAACCCACATTACATATCTGATATTAACACAGTTGAGAAAGTCCAGAAATATTTCACAAGAAGAGTTCACTCCTCTACTTGTTGCAGAATACCTTATGCCACCAGACTCGATATTCTAGACCTAGAAAACCTAGAACTACGCCGCCTTCGGTCCGATCTAAGTATAGTATATAAAATCATACATTGCAATGTCCTACCTGTCAATGAATACTTCAGCTTCAACCATAACAACACAAGAGCAAACAATAGATGCAAACTCAAGGTTAATCGCACCAAACTTTTTTTTTTTAAAAAAAAATTAAGACAAACATAAGCAAACACAACATAAAAACATCAAACCATCTTCCATATATGTGCATACAGTATGTAGGTTGGTTTACAAATTGTTTTGTGCTTCCACTTCGTAGTCTTCAATTACAATTACATTGTATATGTTCTCATATTGTCAATCAAATATTCCTAGTTACATTAATATCATTATTAATCATTTGACTATACTATTATTCATTCATGTTTTACAAGATAATCCATATTTTACTTAAATTGTTTTATGACAGTTCATATTTCCATCTCAAATCTATCCTATAATCATTTTCTAGATATAATAAAAAATACATCTTTATGTTCTAAAAATCTACATATTTCATTACCATGTTTTATTGTCTAACCATTGATAGAATAGATCCCAAATTTTATAAAATTGTTTATCTTCTTGTTCTCTGATTTCAAATGTCAATCTACTCATTTCAGCACATTCCATTATTTTCTTAATAATTTCCTCCTGTGATGGTATTTTCTCATTTTTCCAATTTTTGGCAAATACAATCCTAGCCGCTGTTAATACATTTACAATCAAATATTTCAGTTCTTTATTGTATAATTCTGGTATAATTCCCAATAAAAATATCTCTGGTTTCAAGTCTATATGCTTTTTTGTCATTTTTTCCAAGCATGTGTGGATTTTAGTTCAATATCTTTTTGCATCCAAGCATGTCCACCACATATGGTAATATGAACTAGGTATCTGATGACATTTCCAACATTTATCCGATTTGTTCTTAAACATTCTCACGATTCTCGTTGGGGGTAGGTGCCACCTGTAAAACATCTTATACAAATTTTCTTTATATGCAGTTGACATTGTCATTTTATAGTTTTGAGACCACAATTTTTGCCATTTCTCTAAATCAATCCCATATCCAAAATTTTCCCCCCAAGCAATCATCGTTTCTTTAACTTGTTCTTCCTCCAATTTAAATTCTAATAAATGTCCATAAAGTTTTTTGATTACCTTTTCATCAGTACCCATCAAAATTTTATCCAAATCAGTCAACTTATCATAGATACCTTCTGTTTTAAAATCTTTATCAAATCTACATTGTATTTGCAAATATGAAAACCAATTCATCTTTACACCTTGTTCTTCCAACGCTTGCATAGATTTAAGTTCACCCTTTTCATTCAATATCTCACCATATCTAACTGTTTGTTCCTTTTTATATATTATTGGATAAGAAAAAGCTTCAATGGTAGGTATCCATAATGAAATTTTTAAGTAATATTGTCTTTTTATCTTCTCCCAATTTAAAAACAATGCCTCTCAAATGTAATGTCTTCTAAAATACCCCTGTGTTGGTCTTCCGGTTTGAGCTTCTTCGGCGACAGACCAAAACCTTGTCTCTGCGAGGCTTCGATCCGTGCTCACCACTGGAGCACCCCAAGCCGGCTGGTTTCGGGGCTAAGCCACCCCGTAGAGGTGGTGAAGAGGGGGGAGACTGCCTGCAGGGTTGAGGAGAGCCGCATCTCTCCTCCCCAGCTGGCCATTACTCCCTTTCCCGAAGGCGGTTGCAGCGGTGGTCAGAAATGGCCACCACAAAGAAGAACTC